GCCCGGTGGCCCTCTGCTGAGTGACAGGCTGAGGGAGGGGCAGAGAGGAAGTGCAGGGAGGGGAGGGGAGGGGGACAGTGCTCTGAGCTGGGCCCTCTGTGGGGGGGCTCTCAGCACCCCCGCCTGGCAGGAAGGCCAGTCCATGCTCGGTCTCGCAGACAGTGGGCTCGGGTTTAATTTAGCGCAGGAGCCGGCTAGGCATGATGCCTGCTCCAGGCTCATGGACGGTCCCTCATGGTTTCATTAGGGAAAAAAGTGACAGGCAGCGTTATTGCTTTTATTATTAATGTGCTCTCCACACACCCGCTCCTCCGCCCCCTCACCTTCTCCGGGGAGGAGTGCCGACCTCAGCAGTCCGTGGCCCATCCTGGGTCCTGGGAAGGAGGCATGTGAGTCTCAGGTGCCCACTCCCAGGGGGGCCGGAGGGAGGGGGGCTGCAGCCACTGGGAGCAGCCTCAGGTGGGGACAGAGCCTCTGCTCAGCTGGGAGGGCCACCTGACGGGCCAGACTCGAGGGGGGACCTGTGGCACTGCCTGCCCCACAGTGTGCCCGCAGCGGCTGGTCCCGGCCCCGCCCTTTGCACCTCAGCTGGGATAGGCCAGGCACAGCCTGGGGGTGCAGGCTCCTGGGCAGAGGGGCTGTGGACTCGAACTCCCTGGAAAGTGCAAATTGTACAGGGGACCCCTGGGACCGTGGGGGGGACCCCACCCCCGGCAGTGCCTCCCCTCGTAGGCCCCGTAGGGGCAGCCGTAACAGGTGACAATCTGAGTTAGCGGTCCAACGGCCCAGAGATCATTGGCCTGTTGTTATCCCCCTTGACAGATGGGGAAGCGGCCAGAGAGGTTAGGGTGCCTGCCCGTGGTCACACAGCTCTGTGTCTGAGCCCACGCTCTCACCTCACACGGTACCACCCACGGCTGGGGCACCCCTGGCCCAGGGAGATCCTGAGGTTGCTGATTCTGGTTCCCCATCCCCGGGGGCAGGTGCCGGATCCGGGTCATCGACACCTTCGGGACGGAACCCGCGTACAACCACGAGGAGTACGCCACGCTGCACGGCTACCGGACCAACTGGGGCTACTGGAACCTCAACCCCAAGCAGTTCATGACCATGTTCCGTGAGTGTCCCGGCCGCGGGGC